TTCTAACCAACGGGGCGAACCTTGAACGACGAGCCAGTTTGTCATCCCTAATTTTAATATAAATAAATAATATATTATATTAATTATATAACTTATATTATATAAATATATAATATTTATATTAGTAAATTACTAATATAGTATATTAATATATTATTATTATTAATTTGTTATATATTATAATTTATAAAATTTAATTTTTTAAAATATCATAAATATTATATATATAATTATTTTAAATTATTTTATATTTCGAACAATAACGATTCGAACACGAACGAACGCATCACTGGTCGTGTTTGATTCGTTTAACAAACCGAATGAAAAAAAATTGTTCACGTTCGTCTCGTATTTATTGAATGAATCGAACACAAACTTATTGATGAACCAAACACGAACTGTTCACGAACAACGAGCTTTTTTGGCAGCCCTAGTAAGGGGACATATATATAAAATTTGAAACTTTCGTGTCAGATACAAAAATAAAAAAATGAAATACACATTTTCATATATATGTAAGGGGACATATGTAAAATTTGACAAAAATACATAAAAATTCAGCTGGGTCGGAAACGAGTCTGAGATTGCATAGCTCCTTAGAAGTGTCCGTTGATTATAGTGCCCATTCAAGCAAAAAGGAAAAAAAAAACCTTCAATGAATTATGAATGTAATTACTAAAAAGGTTCTTTTAAGGTAAAAAGCTGCTGTATCATTGGTGTTGATATAATTGCACCCATTTATAGAGCCAAATAAGAATATAAGTTTGAGTCATATTGTTACTTAAAAATAAATAATAGTCCAACTATAAAAAATGTAACAATAACTGTAAGAAGATAAATATTGAAGTAAATACTGATAATCATTTATTCTATTGACTAAACCAATTTAAAAAACGTAAGCAATTCATCATGACCATGTAAACATTCTTACAAATAACAAAAGAATCATGTAAAAGCTAAAAAATAACCAATCTACTAAAAAATATACTTACCTCTTCCGAATATTATCATTAGGGGAGACACAATCTTGTCTCATGCAAACATCAATAATCTCATCAACCTCCTGCCTCGACAATTCATTGATATTCTGAATCTGAAGGATGATAATAAAGGAAATGATCTACACTAGTAACAACATCATCATAGGTATAAAATTTACAAGCGAATCACTCTTTTGTAGAACTCTTCGAATTCCATCAGACAAAACTAAAGACACTAGAAAGGTAATACTTAGATGTTCAGACTGCATATGCATCCATATGATATCATGCGTTTGCTCGTTTTAAGGTTTTAATAACTTTAGTTGAGGGCAATTTGAACAAAGTAAAATGAGATTAATTCCAGTGGACCCAAATACCTTATTAATCAGTAAATTTTTTTCTTCCCCAGCCCTCACCAAAGCTATCGTGAGAGAATCAAGAAGATGCGCTAAGGTGAGTAGAGTAGGTAGCTGCTGGCCAACTGATTCAACAAGACCATCATGGCTATCTGAGACCTGTCAAACATCACAGTTGAAGAACAAAATAAAATAAAAAATAATGATAAATATAGTAATTAATTCCTCTTGCAAAGGGAAGGATAATCAGAATTATTTAATTATAAAGCTTAAGAAAACGAACAAGACATGCAAAACATCAAAAAGCTTCAAACGCATCCTTATTCCAAGACAACCTAAAGTAGTTTAACCAAAAGTAAACCAACAGGATCACCAATTAATCCAGCAAAAAGCATCATAAAGGTAAAATAAAGCAGGACAAGCAACAATTAGCAAGCATCCGAATAGAAAGGCAACTCAAATATAAACCTCAAAAAATTCTGATGTCAGCAACTGCAACTGTAACACCCAATTTTGATAGATCAGGAGAAAATTTTGGCACTTGTAAAATGCACCCTAAATTTTGCTTCCTCCGAAATTCTACTAATCAATTTTATAAAATTTCTTGAATGATTAAAAAGACACTCCATTAGTCATAACAGAAGTATAAATTACTGAAAGAAATTAATTGATTGCAATTTTTTGAAAGCGTGAGGTTTCAGAGAACTCAACATAACAACCAACGAATTTGTCACTACAAAAAGACAGTAAACCTAAAATCCTAAAGCTCATTTTTCCTGAATGATTAAAAAAATAATCCATTAGTCATGATAGAAGTTGAAATTGTTAAAAGAAGTAATTAATTGCAGTTTTTTGAAAGCGCATGGTCTTAGAGAACTCAACATAACAACCAACGAATCTGTCACTACAAGAAGACAATAAACCTTATAAGAAAAATGAATTCTTAGTTGCATTTAACCCTAATAAAACCAATCACCTGTGTGTCAAATGTGCATATCGCCAAAAAAAACTATCCCAAAGAATCTTATAAACCGATACACCGAAAAGAAGAGATGAGCTTTGGTTCCAAAAGAATCTAGTAAACCGATGCACCGAAAAGTAGAAAGGAACTTGATTGCCTTCATTAGGATTTCACATGTAACACTAACCAACAACGACCAACAGGAAAAGAAGAACCCACTAGGTCAAAAGTTTCATCATTGACCTCACAAGACAAATAAATAAATAAATAAATAAAAGTCAAATGAAAAAGAAGCAATGTAAACACGTTAAAATTGCAAAACCAAAAATATCCGTAACACATGTGACATAAAATAAACATAATTTTTTTAAAATAAACAAGAGACATCCAAGCAACATTGAACAATGGCGTCCGTTATCCTCTCTCTCAATTCAACCATTTCTGCGGCGCCTTCGCCATCTGGGTGTATCCTTCCTGTGATTTCACTTATGGTTGTGGTATAGATTGTCTGACGTTAAATTCAAATACTTCCGGCATCACCTGCGTGTGATCATCGTCAGCCACAGTGAAGTTTACATCCGACCTAGAATGACGTCGTCAAATGTAATTGTTGCACGTCATCGTGACCACTACAATCTACATTTGTTTTGGAAATGGGTAAGTCAGCATAGCACGCAGTACGACCCATTTCTTCCTCCGCACTCCAAATGTTCTTTCAATTACGCCTACTTAAAATGTTCTTTCAATTACGCCCCGTAAGAAGAAGTGTATTTTGTTAAAAATTATGCATATTACAAACATCACTTGCGTGTGATCATCGTCAACCACAGTGAAGTTTACATCCGACCTAGAATGATGTCGTCAAATGTAATTGTTGAGCGCCATCGTGACCACTACAATCTACATTTGTTTTGGAAATGGGTAAGTCAGCATAGCACGCAGTATGACCCATTTCTTCCTCCGCACTGCAAATGTTCTTTCAATTACGCCTCCTTAAAATGTTCTTTCAATTACACCCCGTAAGGAGAAGTGTATTTTGTTAAAAATTATGCATATTACAAAATATGACCCATTTCTTCTTCAAGGAGTTCAGATAAAACGATGTATCCGCCATAACTTCAGGATATGTATCCAGAACTTGAAGAAAGTCGTCTATGGTGGTGTCAATTGAAGGACCAGGATGACCTCTGCATACTTATATCAATTTATTTATTGAGCTTATGACAGAAGCGAATCCTTCCTTTTTCCTTTTCTCCACTCTAGGCCGCTTTGAGTGGCATGTGGACTCTAGATCCCTTTGGTTTTGGCTGGGGCTTTCACCTGGCCCACCTACCTGCTCAACCCCCACATCATCTGGTATGCTTGCAAAAGCATGCTCACTTGGGGTGAACGAAAGTATGCTCATCGCAACAACTCAGCTAAACATGAGGTCCAACTCAAGGTCCGACTAATTGCCACTTACCTTGAATGTTTTGGTAACTGGCACGGCTTGCGAAATAAGAGAAAGTATATTAGTTAAAACAGATGAATGGAAGAACAAGTATTTAAGGGTTTACTTATTACCTCCAACTTCTTAATTCACAAATTCTCAATGGTCCACTTGATAGGATCCCAACCTAAGCCCGTGAATATCACAAAAGACAAATCACAAATCTCAAACACAAAGCCAAAAAAACTCGTGAGAAAAAATCTCAGGCACCAATATGAAAAATCTCGCAAAAAAATTCCAACATATAGAGCCAAAAATCGCATGAAGAAAGCCACGATTCCATCGACAACCGCATGATTACACAGAGCCAAAAATCACAGGAACTTACAGAGAAATGTAATAGAAGCACCGAGTGAGAAGGGAGAGGAGAGGGCAATGCTATGGGTAAGAAAGGCGTAGGTAAGAGAGATCGAGATCGAAAGGGCAACAAAATAATCAGTAAAGAAATGCGTGTTGCGGGGTCCATCCAGCGACCGCGATCCTTCGAAAATAACTCCCGTCTTGCATGCGCGTTTCCTGATACGCCCACCGAACGCAATTACCAAACAATCTGTCAGTGTTTTGAAAACGCGATATACTAAAATAAGCTACTCCAAACGGTACCTTAATCTTATCACTGTTTTCGTCCAACCTATTGCGCAACATGCAGTCGTGCAATAGATCGAGCGATTGAAGTTTAATGGGATTAAGTAAAATTGTTGCATTTCATTTCATTTTCCCTCACCCATACTTCACTTCCGCGTGCATGCAGCTTTTTGCGATTGGGATCTTATAGAAGGGTGAGCCAAACGACTAGCAGGGAGCTGCAGGTAATATTTCAGGGTTCCAAAGATAAATCAAAAGGTGGGAAACCTTCTTTCATGATATTTCTGATTTTCCTTTTCTTTTGTTTTGATGTTTACCACGAATAGGTGCACCTTTGTTCCTTGTCACAATAGCAGGAGACAGTCTTGTGCCAGAAGCTACGGACTTGAATTTTAGCTTTCAAATTGGGCCGTTAGCAAGAAATCAACGAACAAAAGAGGAAGGAAGATAGGAAGGAAGGAATCTAGAAAGAAATATGAAAGCTTTTAGGGATAATTTTTGCAGGGAAGTCAGTTTGAGGTAAGTTTTGACAAATGAAATATGTTCAAAGAAGACTTCCACTAAGAATTTCATGAATTTTTTAGAGAATCAAAATTCCATGTATTTTAAACTAAGGAGGCGAGGTTTGGGAACTTGTTGTAGGACTGCTCCGTTAATTTAAAACAATAATCATGTGTTCATACAAAGAAAAATAACATTTTGGAGGTGTTTATGTGATTATGTGTTTGATACAATTACATTTAAAAGTTTCTGAATATTGTGGATGAATGTGTGTAGAAACGGTATGAATGCATACCTGATTTGTCACTGACGATACTTATTATTTTATTATGTATGAATTTGATGTAAATGCTTATGAAATAATTGTTTGTAGATATTCATTTACTATGATTAAAAGAATATGATATGTGAAATGCCTACGATGAATGCTTGTTACAAAAATTATGATATAAGAAATATCAAAAGTGATGATATAAGTAGGCTACTACATGAATACTTACAAGTATGGATGATACAGAAAGATGGGATTACCAACTCCTGGTATTCAGAAAGAGACGAAACTCTGGGAGCAATTGAGATCAGAAAACAACAAAACGTAGGGAACCGTTGGTTTGGGGGGGGGGGGGGGGGTTAATAAAACTGTTATGTGGGGAGGATCCAACTTTAGCAATAGTTAATGAAGCCTTTTGGCATATTGACGACCCAAGACATGACAAAACATGAAAATAATTGAGGCATATACACTTACATGTGACATTTTTATGATTATAATCCTGACCTTTATGAATATTTTTATAATTATACATGAATGAAAAAATAAATGATTTATACAACAGTCATGATTCCCTGCATCACAAGCCTTTTTTTGACATGTTTTGTAGGAATATAATAGTTGTGATGTGTTGTGAACATGTACATGAGTTATATATGACATGCACATTTTTTTCATTTATTAAATTTTATTTTAGCCTTAATTATTTCATTGATTTTGTTATAGCTTTTTATATGTTGACTTTAAGGGTAAAGAACACTAAGACGAGTAACAGGGTGTAACTTGCACAACTTTTTCGTTTCATAATTTCGGGCTTGTACAGACTTTTGAGTACGTAATTTTATTATATTGAATTTAAGAACCCTATATAGATATATATATTTTCATAAAATGATTTTCCACGCCTCCAATTTTATGCATACAAATGAATTATAAAATGAAATGTATCAAATATATTTGTAGCTACTTAGAAAATTAATTTATCATCCACTGGGTCCTGATACTGCAAATTAATGAGTGCCGGTAATAATTTTGTATGGTTGAATTGTCCGTCTGTCACGACTAATCTCGGGACTTGGAATTAATATACAAACAGCCAGACATAGGAAATTAACTTTTCTATATTCATTTAACAAATAAAAAATCACTGAATAAATTAAATTAAAATAGTGCAATTAAATTTACCTCATTACAGGTTATCCGTAAATAAATTAAATTAAAACAGTGCAATTAAATTTACCTCATTACAGGTTATCCGTGTCTTCCATAAACATTATCTCTTCTATTGTTTATCTTTTAATAAAATAGTTACACCTGAAAAGTTAGTTTAAAATAACCGTGAACTAACCAAAGCCAGTAAATACTCACTCTCATAAACTTTAGTATTACAAGTAACAAAGAAAATAAAATTTATGTCAATTAAATTTTAATAAATCAATACAAAATATTTGATATTTTAAGAATAAAGTTTTACTATATCAGTAACATATTTGTACAACCGTCACATGACCACCATCTAAAAACTGTACCAATTAAGGTAATTCAATTTCAATATTAATATTAATGTAAATCCTAATGTTGATTCTTACAATTTTAGGTGATTGACCAAAACAATTAAGCATGATACAATTTTTTTAAAGAGAGAAATTTCAAGTATGAACTCTGAATTTTAATTTAATAATTATTTTTTTGATTAATTTGAAGTCTTATTAATTGGTTTAGGATGTATTTAACAATTAGAGATAGTTCAATAAATAATAATTTAATTATATTTAAGGGGCAAATATAAATATCTAATTGTTAGGTTAGAATTCTTGAGAAAGATGACCAGAAATTGATTAAATTAATTATATACGATGTGTTATTAACAACTAATCAAGACAATTTATGATAGGTTCAGAAAAAGGATTAGATTTATGTTAGGAAAATGATAGTAGAGGACATCGTTGAAGTGGATAATATGCTTTTTATTTTACAATAATTTTGTTTATTTACACATGTTTTACTGTTTCCTAGTTATTATTTTTGAAATGCAAAAGTTCATGTTTCTTTTTAAATGTTAAATGCAAATTTTCTTTTAAATATTAAATGTAAGAAAAAAAATGAATAAATTATGAAATACACAAGCATATGAGAGTCACCCCTGGATGACATTAGCAGAGAAATGCATTGTACCCATGCACAAATTATAAATGAAAATAAAAAGAGAAATAATTACCTACCTCTATGGTGGATTTAAAAAGGTTAAACATATATTTTAATAAAATATATGTTTAGACAGTGACTCCCAATTATGAAAAACGTAACCTAAATTAATGAAAAAAAATGAAATTATTTTAAAATGAGAATTATTATAATTTAGAAACATTTACACGCTGATTAGTTTTAACTCAAACTATAATTACTAATATTATTACTGAAAAACCAGCTGTAAATTAGATTAAACCCAGAAAGTACATGTATAAGTGTCATAGAGTGCAAGTTGATAGGTATTGTAGTTTAGTTTATTTGATTTTTAAATGTAAATGTATAAATATGAACATGTGTTGTAAATATATATTTATAAATAGAATGATTTCTTTCTGTTTTGGATTTTTATGTTTGTGATAAAATAAAACTGTTAGATAGTATTCCTCAGTCTAACTGTCAGTTCCCGACTACTAATTCCAAATTCACCTAGTCAGGTCGTGACGAGTGGTATCAGGGCCTAGTTAAGGTAAGTAGGAAAATGATTATTAAAAATTCATTAAAAAAATTAGCAATAATAGTTAGGAAATTTAAAAATTAATTTAAAGTAATGTTAATAATGTAAAGTTTTGTAATCTTAGAGAAAAATCATTCTGATTTGGAGGATGCCCATGGGAATGATAGAGAGGCAAGGGCTACAAATCAACAGAATCGAGTGCTTCTAGCACATAATGATCTTTCCTCCAGTTTACTCAGACGATGACCATAATGACATGACTTTTTCAGAGTTGTCAAACCTAGGATAATGACACGACTTATTCAGAGTTCTCAGACCTAGGCTAGTGATAGTGGAACAACTCAAATGACAAAATATCTAAAGCTGTTTAAGGACATGCGACCACCACTATTTTCAGGGGCAGAAGAGCCAGTTGAGGTGGAAAACTAATTGCTGAGAGTAGATAAGATCATTGAAAGTTTGTCATCTTCTTGGGAGAGGAAGGTCACATTAGCTATTTTTGCTTTCGAGGGAAGATGCAGAGACGTGGCGGCAGGAACAACTTTGAAATAAGTTTGGCGGATGACTCAGTAGTAAGATACAGTGAGAGGACTTTGTGAAGATTTTTCGTGACTGGTTCGTTCCTCTTTCAGCCAGGAGGCAGATGTGAGATTGGTTTATCAGACTAGTGCAGGGCGACCGATCCCTTTAGTATAATGCAGAATTCACAATATTAACCAGGTATGTGCCTCAGTTGATCCCAAATGTCAAAGAAAAGTATCGTCGATTTCTCTCTGGATTGAAGGATGTCATTCGACAACCTTTAATTCCTCTTGGCATTGAAATGAAACTGTTGGATAGATTTCATTTGTGTTTTGGAGATGAAATGAAACTGTTAAATAGATTTCCTCTGTCCGACAACCAATTCTCGCCTTGGTAATCCCAAGTTTACCGGGTCGGGTAGTGACAAGTAAATTGCATAAAAAAGTCTCAGAATAAAATATGTATGAAGAATGAAATAACTTATATATGAATGTTTGCATCTGAATATACCAGCACGGGTAGAGTTTTTGTACCACCCCGAACAATTATGATAGTTTAATAACAGCTATACTGTCTAAATAACATTGGCCATGAATAAGTGGATCAAAGCTTACCTCCCTAGACAATTGTAATGTTTACATTTCTAACTGCTCTGCTGACAAGATAATATTGGTCAGGGGTACGTACAGGTTATTCCACCCAAGAATATTGTAATCAGCCAAGGGTGTGTTTATATATATATATTTACGGTGATCTTCACAAAGACAAATGTGTATGTAAAGTATAAAATAAATGTTCATAGAAAATTGAATATTTTCATTTAAATAAACTTATTGATGCATGCACATATATCAGATTGTTTATAAAAATATGAAACACCGGCATATTATAAGAGTTCTTATAGGCCTACATGCCTATTAAATTCTATTCCTTGGATTACTATAGTTTAAAAATATGATTACTCTTGGGTTATTATTAGATAACTCATTATATTGCTTTAATATCATATTTAGGTTTTAAACATTTGAACAAGATGATTAGAAGATGAGTAAATGTATACAACAGACGAAAACAACAACCAAAAAGGTACCAATTTTACTTATTAATTTTAATTACTTTATTTAGTGACTCCTGAGTTATTATTAGATAACTCATTATATTGCTTTAATATCATATTTAGGTTTTAAACATTTGAACAAGATGATTAGAAGATGAGTAAATGTATACAACAGACGAAAACAACAACCAAAAAGGTACCAATTTTACTTATTAATTTTAATTACTTTATTTAGTGACTCCTGAGTTATCATTAGATAACTCATTATATTATTTTAATATCATATTTAGGTTTTAAACATTTGAACAAGATGAATAGAGGATGAGTAAACAAATACAACAGGCGAAAACAACAACAAAAAAAGTACCAATTTTACTTATTAATTGTAATTGCTTTATTTAGTGCATTTTTCACATATTATTTGAATATTAAACTGTTTGTGAAAGAAATAAAATAACAGAGAATTAATTTCCATTGTTCGACCGCCCGTTCCTGTTTTGGTGAACTCCAAGGCCCGGGTCGGCTCGTGAAACGAACGATGCTTATCCTTGTTCAAACTCCATAAAACTCACATATTATCTTCCCTTCGCCATTCCACAAACAACTCCCTACAAAACCTGCTTCCTAAACACCATCTAGGAGCCTTAGAATAGTATCACCTTTATAGCATTCTCATGGGATCTCCACATCATCCTCAAAAGATCTTTATCGAATTCTCAAAAGATCTTTATTGGATCCTCAAAACATCATCATTTGATCCTCATGGAATCATCACACAATTCTCAAGGGATCTTCAAGAGAGATCGGCAAAATGAAGCACATGACCGAGAAAAGCACAGGCAGGCAAAGCACAATTTGATAGTGTATGATTAAGCAAGTTCAAGTGAGAGAGGATGAATCAAGAAATGAGGGAAGAGGGGAAGAAAAAAACAAAGAATCAACCGACATTGAAGCCAAATCACATAGTTGAAGCATGGGATGGCTTCGGAGCAATGCAAATTTGTAATAGGAGTGGCCAATGAAGAGGACCTCATGAAAGGCAAGCTAAATCACAACAGGAATGAACCAACAAAGTCATTCACGCTAGAGGGAAAGCAATCTTGCAAAAAAAGTAAAAACAACTTAACACAAGTGATTTGACCTAACAATCTAGGTTAATGATTGAGGCTTGAAGCAACACTAGCAAACATTATTGAAGCAGTCCGAAGGGCCAAACAATTGGTTGACAAGGTGAATCATGGTTCACAATGTTGACAAGGCTAATAACTATGAGATCCCGCTAGATCTTAACAGAAAAATATGCGAGCACAAGAAGAAGACAAATGTTTAACAGAGTTGGCCCTATAAACATGTTAAATAATATAAGATAAGAATACAACATATTTCATCATATTTACAAAATAAAAATAGCAACACAATTTACAAAAGAAAGAAGACATGTAGAGATAAAAAGGGACTAAGACCATTTAGATAATTATTTTACGGGAGTTGTAGAACTGATAATGGCATGCCAAGCCAGGGCGAACTGTAGAGCTGGAATGCGGAGGCAATAGGATTTATGAGCTATAAAGAGCAGCTTGAATGATGCAGAATTATCAGGGCCAAGTGAGCACTGCTAGAATTCTACATCCAAGCGGGAACAACAGAATCTAGCTGACACTTTCAGAGCTGCTGGAGAGTCATCATAGTCGGGAGTGATCTCCATTAGGGAATGATATACTCGGATAGCCTGGTCCTCAAGTAAGCACAATAATACCAGTCCTCAAGAAAACGAAATAAAGGCAACATGAATGATATCTTGAATCATGCGGTTAATAAAAGCAAGATTTGAGCAGTTAATATTCGGATTTCCATGACAGGCTCACAAACAGATGAGGATGCTGATGACCTTTCAAAATTGTTTTTTGTTTCAATAAGCATAAATTTTTGTTAATTTTGAACGAAACAAAGCCATAACAAACCTGCAACCTGATGAGCTTCTTAGTTATCAGAAGATAAAGATAAGAGATAAGGCTAAAGCATAGCCTGAACACAATCAGCTCTGAGTTCCTTTTGTACTGCAAATCAAAAATAAGTTACAAATGAAGAAAACTACCAGTTTGATAGAAGCATACTACCAGAATATTATTTTGAATACTTCGAAAAAAAGAAAATATACCTCAACCGAATCTGATACTCGACCAAAACTAGCAGAGCCAATATCAAGGTTAAAAACAAAAATCATCATGCTAAAAAGCCCTTGGAGAAAACCATACTCATCATTCTCTTCATAAGGCCAAATCTTCATTTAAAAAAAAATTGCAAAAGGTTAGTCATACGTTTGGTGCCACATAATGTAACATATTGTTGTAAAACAAAAATTGAAGGCAACCAGACAAAATTAAGTTGCATACCCTGCTAAGTATTGAGACAACAAGATTAATCCGTTCCAAGGTACCCTCTTCAGCTGAGGAGATGTCTTCTCTTAGAATCTGATCAAAAACTGACCGTTGAGATTTGACAAAATCTATGACTTCCCGTACAACTTTATTCTTAACCTACAGCAACAAAGCATTAGTATTTTAAACAACAATACAGATTTTAATATCATAAAAAAAATTTTCTTAATTTGAAGTACAGGAATGAGCAACAGAATGAACTGCAGTAAAAAGCATAAAATGCTGCTGCCATCCTTTTCTTACAAATGATTTGTACAAAGCATAAAAAGAAGTTGGATAAAAAAATTTGGTCAGCATGAATATTCAAATAGAATAAAAGAAAAAAGGTAAGAAAATGATGACTAAAAAAATTGGCACGAAATTCAGGCTAAACAAAGTCAACACCACAATAAACAGATCAAAGAAGATTTTTTTCACTGTTCTTGAAAAAAAAGAGCAGGAACCTTTTATTTAACTTATTTTCATTTCATAAAATCTTACCAAGTTGCAATCATCTATCTAGTGCGGCTTTAATTTACCAAATAAACTCGAAGGATCAATCTTCATTGCAGGTATTTTAGCATCAATACCACTAAAATGGGAATTTGCAAATAAGAAACTCCGCGATTTCATGCAAAGTAAGCTATTTTTTTCATTATTGAAATGTGCATTCGTTCTCAATGTTTGCTTGTGTTTCTACGTGCAGATATCAAATAAGAACAGAAAACAAAGTGTACATGCAAAATTCAGTAAAAGAACTATGAATGAAGATTACCATAGAATATATTAAGAATGTTTGAAACCTAAAGCCCGTTGTCATGGCATGTGCATTTGCATTAAAGCTAACTATTCAAACGAATCAAGCTCAAGGTAAAACAACCGGACTCTATCAAGGTTGATAAAGTGAGATCAAAATCGAAACAAGCCTTGCCTTGAGGCCCCAGCTCAATTTCCCTCCTAACTCAATGAGCTTAAGCAGTCTGAAAGTTCTGAAAGGACACATGAGTTAATGTTCAAGAGGAAATAATGTCAGATAATGTGCAAAAGAAGCAGAATGACATTGTTGAGACATCTTTTTACGCAAAAGACAGAATTATCCCCCGTGAATTGGAAAAACAGTGTTCTACATAAAAATGAAAATGTGTATGACACAACCCAATAGGATATTCTTTATTATATTAGGAGGATTAAAGGGTTAGTTTCTAATATGAATGTTATATGGAATTTCATCTATCGGAAGGGTAATCAACCCGTGAATTGGCTTGCTAATTTGGATGGCTCTAGTCAAATTTGTAGGGTGGGAGCTACTCCCCCCTAGCCTTTATACTCTGCTGGTTGGTGATAATATTGATGCTCCTTTTATTCGTATAAATGTCTCATCTTGATGAATTATGGGTGGCCGACTGGCTTAGATCGGCCCATGTTTTAATTAGGCTGGACTTCTCTCTCACTCACTCATTTCTGGATAATTTGGAGGTGCGGTGCTCTGGGAATATGACTATTTATCATTTTGTTTGTTATGATGAAGAGTAATTTATCATTGGCATGGAGGTCTATGACTACTTTGCTATATCTGTTGAGTTTTATTTGGGAGGCCCATGGCTCCCTAATGGTTGCTGGCTGTGGTTGTCGAGCTGGGGGTTTTCTCGGGTTACAGACTGAGGAGCCGTGTTGAGTGTATCTGTTTTTATTTGGGAGGCCCAGGGCTCCCTATTTGGTGGTTGTGGTTGTGGAGCTGGGGACTTTCTCTGGTTACGGGCTGGGTCTGTGTTGGGTGTTTTTTGTTTGGTTTTATATTTTTAGCATGGAGGCCCAGGGCTCCTTTGCTACATTTGTGATGATGGTTTGGAGGTTGTATATTGGAGATATGACACCTGGGGGATACAACAATATGACTAGTTTTACGGGTGGGCTTTTTAGGCCTGGTTGGATTGTCTTTGCTGCTTGGGGGGTTGGAGGAACGAGGACCACTATTTCTATTCTAACCACT